AAACAATATAACTCTAAGTTCTTGCACATCATCCACTACCGTGCGCCAATAAAAAATATCTCAAGCAAAAAAATTGTTGGATTATGTTTGATATTTGTTTTCGAGTTGAAATTCAAATCAGAAGACTTGATTGAAGAGAACAAATGTATCTATAGAAATGACAACTGAAAAATTTATCCAGTGACTTTTGTTTTGTGTAGATTTATGGAGTTGACAACAAAACAAAAATAGCTTGAGGTCAATTTTTATGATGCTAATTTTATATCTAATCACCAAATAATGAAGTTAGAATCATGATGAAGATTACTATATTCATCATTTTCATTGAATATAAATCATCAATACTATTAGGCTGATGTTTTTCATTATATAAATGTAATTACAATTTGTTTCGATTAAATAGTGAGTAAGTATGATGGTTTATTTATGTACATTAGAAAGTCTTATAATATTCTAGAGTACTGAAAACCTTTTGGTCTTTACTCTATAAATCTCAATGGTAGGTCTAGTGGCTTGAACTTCTTTTCGAGTCTATGTGTGTTCGTTACTCCTATTCACGATCGTTGAGGCTAGCCTGTTGGGGTGGTAGCTGAGAATGTCGATACATCTCGTGCTGAATAGTGCTATTTCTTCTCTGATAGTGCTCATTTCAAGGTCCTTGTGAATATTTTCATTTGTAACGAACCAAGGCGCATTTACTAAGACTTCAAGAGCTTTGGATTAAAATCGTTGTATTATTTGGATTGAGCTGATGCATGCAGAGTCCAAAAGCTGGGTGCCATACTTGCATATTGGCTTGATGATAACTTTGTAAATCAGAAGTTTGTTTTCTAATGACTGCTTTCAGTGCCTGCCTATCAACCAGTGTTTTTTAGGGATGACTCAATACTTTGGAATTATTATTATTTTTCTATAATTATTTGTAATTTTTTCTACGTAGTAAAATTAAGACGATAATTTGTAGACATTTCAGAAAGTCAGAACGTTAACAGACAAATGATTCATTGTGCAAAAGATTTGAGTGTAATATGTACGTGAATTTTGAAATGATAAACAAGCTATATAATTTAGCATTTCAATTGTAATAATTGTAATTGTATTTGATTTTTTATTTAGTTTGAACACTATAAAAGAAGGAAAGATAAAGGAAGTATTTTCATTAAATTTTAAGTAATTTATATAATTACGTTAACGATGAGATTTGAAAAATGATAATACAGAGTGTCAAGCTTTAAAAACACATTTTGTCATTATCCTAACAGTTTCTAGTTTTTATATCGTTGAGATCCAAGAACAAAGTGTAAGCAAGTGGAAACAAGTAGTTTAACAGAGAAAGAAGATGCTTTGATCTAGTTTTATTTAGTTAGTTTCAAAATGACAGAAACACTTGTTCCTCTAAGCTAAAAAGCTAAATGGCAAATGAAGAAAGTCAATTATAAGATGAAAAAAAAATTTTTTTTCCATTATCAATGGGTGTTAAATTGAAAAGAATAAATACTATGCTTGTGCTTCAAAATAACTAAAGTAAACAAAGCAATTAAAGTGGAGAACGTGTAATTAAAAACTCCTCAGAATACTCAGTAAATGAAAAATATAAAAAATAAAAATATAATTTTATAATGGAGTTGTTAAACAAATTTAAAAATTTGATACTATTTAAAAAAAATATTTTTCTATTAAAATAATAATTTACATATTAATCAGGAAAACTTTTTAATTATATTTTTTGGAGCATGACCCAAATATGATGAATCAATAAATTACTTTGTGTGTAAGAGAGTTGTTAATTATATAATTAAGCTAACAGGTATTCATTTTAAAAGAAGATTTAAAATGTAGCTTTTTATATATCATATGGATGAACAAGAAAAAAAAATTTCAAAATTATTTTTGATAGTAAAATAAAAATTTAATTAATTAAAGCGATAAAATAAATTTCATGATTAGCATCCATTCCATTTCTAAAATAACCTGTTTCGAGTGAAATAAAATTATTAATATCAAGCATCAAAAAGGAATATTTGATGAGAGAAAATATTAAATGTATAAATAGAAAAAATAAAATATTTTGTACTCATCAGAAGTACAACAGGAATTCGTTTTGTTCAATGAATTTATCATTATCATTATCTCAAGCTATATTTTAGTTTGCCAAAAATACAAACTTCACCTAAAAGTTGGCGTATTTACAATTGTACGGAATGATAAAAAAATAAATAATGAGAGTAAAGAGACAAGCATTTTATAGTTTAGTAGAATGCCAAAATTTTTTGGCTGGCCGAATTTTTTAGTAAAATCAATCTCATGAATCATTCATTATGTACCTCTGTATCGTCGTATTTGGATGATTTGACACACCTGCATCCGTGAAAAGAGCTTCACTACGTCACATACGCACAACAGTATGCCTCGTGCGTCTGGCGGGGGACGAAACGAGGGTGCATGGAAAATTACGAACAGACGGCGAAGCTGGTTACGATCGATACATGCTTTGCCTGTGTACCTTTTAGACTATGTGCGATTCGCAGGTGCATAAATTCGTCAGAAGAAACTTTTTGGAATTAAATAAACTACAAAAATATTTCTTATTTTTATAACCAACATTTAATTTGAATTCTACTGAATTGCTATTTTTATAAATAATATACAATTGTGTAATCACATAAAATTATTTATAACAATATGTTGTTGATATGATAACTTAAATGACAACTAAGTAGTAGTTGAATTATTATTATATTTAGAGAATTGTTTCATTGATGAGCCTAAAAATTTGTTCAAAGCGATTGGGAAAAGCTGTTTATAAAAAAGTCGATGATGACTCTACGCGACTTGAAATTAAAATAGGCGAGAGGATAGACGTCGTATTGGCGCCATCTAATGTATTTCCCCATCCCCTTGTCTATCATTACATTATTAGATGCAAATATTTTAGTATCGACATACCAACGATGATTTAATAATTTTAAAATACATTACACATGAGTCATTTCACTAAGAAGATTCTCTATAATTAATTCTCACGCCTTAACAAAGAAAATGCTACAAGATGAATGACGTAAACTTCCATTTTTTTCTTCACTACACTACGATACTTAATTGTGCAATGAAATCGGAAAAGAGTGATTATGTTATCAATAAAAAAAACTACACAACAATAAATAAAATTCAATAAAGTCACGTTGAACTTCAAAGTTAGATAAATTTTAAATTGTTATTTAAACAAATGTGAAGATTAGAATTATTGCATCAATAATTTATGTAAGAAAGGAATTTTTCTATTTACTAAATAAGGAAATGTCGTGTAAAGAAGAATAATGAGTTTAATCCCCAAATGTTTCAGATTAATACACCGATATAACAGGTAGAGAAAAAAAGAAAGAAGAAATGAAAAGAAGAGAGTAAATGAATACGATTTAGAGGGAATACCGTAGAGAGAATCTATCACTAACTTATAGACATCAAATCACGGGTTAGCTCTTCTCAAATACTCTACACCAGTTCACCATTGCTGTTGATGCTGTCCAGACTGGCGGCTCCTGACTCAATGAATGATTTCCGCCAGCACTGTTGCCATTTATCTGGCCCCTTTCCCAGCCGTGCTATCTCTCGCGTGGTCAGCAATTTTTTCGGCAAATAGTTAGAAGAAATCGCCAGAAGACGCAAAAAAAAGGAAACAAGAAGAAAAATGCTTCAACTGTTAATAGAGCTCAATTTTGTGGAAAAAATTATTTGTAAACGAATGGTTAAGTTGAATAATGGCTTAAAAAATTTTATGTTTACAATGAACTCATTAAAAATGATTAAGTCATGAATTATTTCTATAAAAATGACTAATGATGACGAATATTCCCATTGGAGATATACAAATGTATTAATGATTGTAAAAATATGAAAATTTTTTTTAATTTAATATTTAAAATTCCAAGTTAATGATATAAAAGCAAAATACATGAGATAATAAGCTGTAAAAATTATTAATTACATGTAATTCAAATTGATAATTGCTATTTGTTCATTTCTCAGTGAAAAAAACTGAAAGATTATTTTTAACCAACGTTGTAAAGTAACGACTAACAAATAACGTCTTTATTTTCTTTAATATCGTGGGCACTTGACGATAATTGATCCTCATGGTTTTATGGCAACGTCGCTATGCGTGGAGTTGTAATTGTGATGCAATATATAAGATAGTTGAGCTCCCATGGCATCAGAAATGTCTATTTGATTCGTGAATTGCATACATTTAGTATGATAGTTGTGTACATCTTTCTATAGGTATACTAAATAAAAGTTTAACAATTGAGAAATATATCCAATGTGTTTCCCAAAGGAACTTAAGTCCGTCTAGGGTGAATAATAAATGAATGATTCACGCATTGAGTAGAATCAAAGTTGCTTTGATATAAAAAAGAATGTGCGTTTAAAGTTCTTTGACTTTACACTTGGTTATTTTTTCAAGTTAATTAAAAACTAAAATATTTCTCTTCTTTTCTTACAATCTTTGCTTACTTTCGTTCTACTTCATCTTCATGAATAATGAAGAATAAAGTTTCATATCTACATTTCAAAAATATTTTAGTTATTTTTAAAATAAAAAATCCTCTCTGAATAAAAATTGTGTGTACAAACTTTGAAAATTCGAAATCTGCTACACATTAATCGATTTAGCTCGATTTTTTTAAAAAAAGTAATTTTCTAATTAATCAAGCTTTTATATTAATGTATATTAAGATAATATCTATCAGCATCTGATTATGATTGAAAATAAATAAAATTTAATTCAGTTTTAGTAATGACAAGTTAAAATAAATTATTTAAAAAAAAAAATAAACAATGCATGACGAAGATTCTTGGAAATTGATTGATAATAGCTTAATCATGGAACTTTGGGAAATATATTCCGAAAACCGTTATCACATTTGTTATTATCGAAAATAATACATCAGTCAAAAACAATATTCCAAGAAATACATTATATGTAATTTCGATAAACTCACCAATAACAACAGTACTGGCTGCGACTTCTTTGGCAGCAGCTGCCGCAGCCGCAGGTCCATGAGCTAAAAAGTCACTTAGAGAAAGTGAAGACGCAATAATCTGTCTTTTCTCTTCAAAGTTAAGGTAATCCAAACTATTACTTCTTTGCGGTCCTGACACTATAGTGACGGTCTTCGTCATTTGATGGAATTGTTGATGATACTGTTGGTTATTAGTATCATTAGTATTCACTGATTTTTCATTAGTGGAATCCTGTAATCCAGGTGTTGGCATCAGGAAAACACCACCACTCACTCGAAAGGACATCTCCACAGCTCTGATGACAATAAGATACCGAGATACCGGTAATTCAAGATAGCCAATAGGCTACCGGCTAAATTCTCTAGTTGTTTGCATGCTTTAATAAGTTTTTTAAAAAAATGTTCATGGTCCCTAGGCTTATTGTATCTATTTTAAATGGTAAATTGTCACGTATTTTTATTTAGTCCTTTTCATTGTCTTGAGTCTTGACTCTTGAGCATTCTCCAATGTATTGAGGTAGTCATTGTTAAACTTCCAAGAATCCTTGACTGTTTATTAACACATTTTTTTTTCTTTCCTTCTATCGACGTTGAAAAAGCTGCATTCTTGATTTATCCACTGTGTTTGTGACTACACTTTGTTCAATTTGCATACAAACGACCTTTGAATCATGTCAAATAATTTAGATAGATGATCTTGTTACCACACATTAACAGACACCAATTTTCTTATGTTATTTTTGTAAAAAAGCTGAATACAGAAAAGGCAGATACTTGGCTCAAAATTCGTTGACAAAAGCTAATAAATTCGAAATGTCTGCTTTTTAAAGGCGTAATTGTTTACGACAACTTTTTTTCTCCTTATGATATATTAGAGAAAAAAAAATTTCAGTTTGTGTATTGCAAGTTATTAGTTTTGTCGTTGATCTCATTAATTATCCAACTGTTGGCACATGTGACATCGTTGGAAAATTGCTCACTGGATCCCAAGAGTGTTGAGATGAGAGAGTAGAGATAGGATCACAGTTTCTGCACAATAGAATGGTAGAAATTGCTAGTTTACTATCTATGTTTGACTTATTCATATTTTTTGTGAATGACTCATAAAAAGAAGAATTTTTTAGTAGTCCGGATATTGAAATAAAAATCTGTGATAAAAATATTCAACACAATTATTAAATTAAACGTCACTTTCTTCTTGTCAAATTCCAGAAATAGTTTTGAAATAATACTTTGAAATATTACAGTTAATAAAATTCAAGAATACTATTGAATTTTAATGTCAAAATTAATTTTATATGAATATTAATTGATTTTAAAGAAAATATTACAAAATAAATATTAAATTCTTGGAATTTTTTAGATTGTAATGGAAATAGAAACAATGATGAAAGCAATACTGTTTTTGAAAAACAGAATAATATATCAGACAAGAGAAAAATATTTTCATTATCAATTCATATTATCAACATGACGAGTAATTTAATGACACTGTGTTTGTTTTATTATCAAGCAAATTCTTTTAAAATTTCTCGAAAAATGAACCCGTGACAAAAACTCAATAAATTTTTAAAATGACCGATATTTATAGCACAAAATGAACAATAGTTGCTCTAATTTAATTGAAAACACACGTCGATTGTACCATCCAGTTATTCTTGGAGAGTCGAAGGTAAACGAGAATTTGAAGCTGCCCCATTGCGACCTCTCCATGTCGTGAAGGGTTTATAAACTCCGAACCAAATTACTAAGAACACTCCAAAAAATTTTATCTCAACAACCGTTTTTTACTAAACATTCTTAAAACGAAAGTAAAAATTTAAAAGACCTATCTGACACTTTCGTATGATAATCAACATAGCTATTTAATTCCGATAAATAAAAGTCTATTTACTTTTAAAGGAACACAACTACAAGCCAATGCATTTTATTGTTATTTTTTTTTCTCATTTCGATTTTTTCTTTTATTTGTATTCGCGTCGCCTATTCCTTTTCCGTTGGTTGTTTCGAAACACCTGTGCAGCACGCGATCAACGAGATACCAACGACGCTGTCGGATACACACAGGAAAGACAGAGACACATAAAAAATATTCACATGAAAATATACACAACTGATACACATGCACTAATAAAAGCCTTTGAGTCACTCACAAAGCCTTAAAGACTTGAATTATGACATTTGTTGACACTCAAGACGCATCAGAAATTTAATCAATTGATCGTTCCAACGGAATTAATGATAAAAAAATGCAGTGAAAACTTTGAAAGGGACAAAGATAGACGGTAGAGGGCCGATGCTTTAGACTCAGACTCTAAAAACTCGACGCCTCGCATCACTCATTTATTTACCTTTTTTTTCAATTTTGCACGATTTTTAACACTCACTTCGATACTAAACACTTATGTGCGTCGTGACGATTGGACGGATTGTCGTAGACGGAAGTTAAAATTTAGTGGCACGAGATAATGACAAGAAAACAATAATCTAAAACGAGAGACCAAACTTCATAACCACGCACCGAGCCAGGCTCGCGAGCACTGACGGCAGCCATGCGATTACGACGCCGCCACGCGGCCATGAATGAGAGAGACTCAACTAACCACGAGGATCGTAAAATGCAAACATGCAACACACTATATTAGTGTATATTAGCTGTACATACAATGGGTATATGTGGTGTGTACTAGTAATTGTGGTCAATTTAATTATTTTTAATTCTAAATTAAGGTCTAAATAAACGTCATCTCTATATAAAATAAAATATTATTATTCAGATCATATACTTTATATTTTTATGACAATTATCATCACATTTTTTACGTGCTTCAAACGCTCATGAAATATTTATCTTTATTGTGTAAATAAACAAGAAGAATTATGTGTGTTTAAAGTTATTCAATGAATGAAAAAATTGATAAACTTTACATATTATTAAAAGACTTATAATTCTGTGGAGAAAAAAACCTGGATGAATATGATTTGCCTACTTTCTATTGTTTCAATAATTTTTGCAAACAGTCATTATTATCATGGATGAAAGAATAAATTAAATAAAGTTTTTTTCAAACTTATCAATGAGACTAAATATTTTTATTCAACTTATTATTCAATTCTAAGTTGAAGATTTATTTTTATCATTTAGTCAATATAACCTCACGTTAATTTTTAATAGTTTTTTAACAGTTTGAAATATTTTAATCGATTTTTTTTATCACTTATTCATAGTAACATACATTTTATCTGACTGCACATTATTTATTTCTTTTGCTACTATAAAAAATGACAATTCAATAGCTTTTTTCTGATGGAATAAAATACAAAATTCACTGTTTAGTTAAGAAGCCTAAAAATGATCTAAACCAACAAAAATTGTAATTCAGTTTTTCAATAACTTTCTAATTTAAATATCAATAAATGATATTTATTTATTTTTTAAACGGAACATTAATGATAGATGTTTGCCATCTAGTCCATTAAAATATCATATTTAAAAAAATGTAAATACGAATAATATGCTATTATGTATTCATTTTGATCTTCGACAATGTAGTGGGTTTTGTAGCACATATTTCACTCAGTAAAACAACACAACAAAAATTCGTAATTCATTTTTATTGCAAAATGTTTCAAGTATAAATTTTATTTGCAATATAATAAAGTTTCGACAGAATGTTTCAGTATTGTTATTTTGTTATTTGAGTGGTAAATTAGATTTTAAAGTCCGAAAATACAAATAAGGGATGACGTGCAGCACGTGGTATTCGCAAAGCGTCTAGACTCTAATTTAAACCGGTTTGCAATTCTACACGAGGACTTCGGTTTGGTATCTCTGTCTAGCTACTGTCACAACTAATAATTTAAATATGAGAAACATTGTATTTTCATATCACGATTGTCATAGTTTTGAATTTCAATTATTCTCTCTGGAAAAACCTCAGGTAAACTTTTTTTTATATATCAAATATGATGTGTATTCTGAAGTAATTATAAATTTTTTTTTCAGGATGTAAAATATTACAGACTATGAAACACTATAAAATATTGATTGTAACTATTAATAAGCAGCATTATAAAAATAAAAAAAATAATTCTGAGCCGTTTGAAGGTCTACTCTTAGTATTGCTGCGATAACGCAATCCGAAGTGGAGCACGACATAACAACCTTTCCTTTGCTTCTGCATCGAAACGACATTTCTTTCAAAGAACAAAGATGATATTGTGTGAACAGAGAAAGTGGATAAATTGCGTACATACTTTCAGAGCATCAATAGAAAAGTAATAGCATTACACACTAAGCATGTGTAATATTGAATCACGAGTGAGTTACTGGAATAAAGAAATGATTGCCACCCACATTAATGCGTGAATAGAATATTAAATAGCAGGTATTGGTTTCTTTATTTTTACTATCACTTATTTGAATTTTGTTTAATTTAATATACTACGCAGAGATGTCAACAACGATGAAAAATAGCATGCTAAAAAAAATAAAATGGTAGAAATGTGTTCATTTTATTCTACTACTTTTGTTTTGAGAAAAAAAATATTGTTCAATAGGCTGCATATTTTCAGCATATTTTTGCTATGAATATAGTCCATCAAATTGATTTTCATGAACAAACATATGAATTTTTTACAGGCATTAGTTTACTATCAAGTATTCCATCAACATTTCAGTCATTTATATAAAATTTTTTTTAATTTACTTTATTATTGATCATACTTGTTTCAGGATATTTGAATATTTTGTTAATCGTAAATTCAATCATTTAATTAATAAATAAATATTAATCGTAATATTTTACAATGACCCGATTTTATTATAAACTGTTAAGCTGAGTTTCAGTTAAATTCATAATCAATAATATTAAATATAAATAAATTAACCTAGAATGAAAAATGAATTTAACAATATTTCATTATTATTAGTATGTAGCATGACAATAACTTTTCAATATTTTCAGAAATAAAAATCTTATTGATTCATTCACATCAAAAATATAAATACATCTCTGTACAATTTTATCACGTTTAAATAAGTAACATAGATTGCTTCTTTATCTAATTAAATTCAATTAATTTCATTGATGTTGAATTCGAAAATAAAGTAATGGCTTTGAACTTTGTTTCAACGTCTATAAATAAATGCATTTGCAATCGTTTAACTTTATTTATACTAGAAATTCATTCATGGAATGGTGCTTTAGTTGAAAGTCAAAGAATTTTTTTTTACTACCTATATTTCTCTTTATAGAGTTTGAGCACCTACGTTATAAATTGCATGACATGGATAAAGTTGTTGAACGAAAATATAAGTAGCAGTATCTCCTATCTTCCGGTTCGAGAATTTATCCCGATAAATACCAACATAAAAATAGGCTGTACGATCGTTAATAATAAGTATTGCATACTACGTAATTAGACACTAGGATATTGTTCGTTGTATCGACAAGATGACGACATTGCGGATTATACAGAAGAGAAAACATGATGCCAATCAAATAAAGGGCAAATCAAGTGGATATTTATTGAGCTTGACATTTTATACAATCTGATGTAAGCAATGTATGTTATTGAATGACTGTTTTGATAACTTGTTATTGATTTTTCTATACAATTATAAATTAAAGATTTAATTATAATTTAATTCACAAAGCTAATTTTTTTTGTATCTTATACGTTCCACAGTAAATTGTTGAGTTATTATTGGAACTCTGCTGAAGGCCGGTCGATGAGTCTACAAGTAGTCGAACGGAGAAGAGGAAAAATACAATTACTCAGAGAAGACATAATCAAATTGTAGAAGGATTCTTTTTGTTTGGTAATTGTTTTTGGATTAATTTAACTCATTTCCAATGTCTGTTTGGTTCGAAAAGTATGATACTTCTTCCATTAATTAAAGAAAAGTCTCTGGATTTTAGTTGATCCTTGTAAATAATGTATTATAAATAATTTTCTTTATATTTTGAAAGAAGAAAACTATGAAAAACTTTACAAGGATGAATTTATTTTTAAAATAAACGTTGAGTAAATATTTAACATTCGAATGTTTTTTTAGAGAGTACATTTTCAGACTTTTCAGTGAAAATTTTAGAAGCGATTTTCGTTTAAATATGTTGCAAAAAAATGTACATGATGTTGAAATTTTTTAAGTTAATATGATGAAAAAAAATTAATTCGAAATATTGGATGATTAATATTGAAATCAACTAGTTTACCTATTAACTGGCATGTTAATGAACCGTCAATCAATAAATTATACCATTAAAATTTTTTTAGTGTTCTTTTGATGCTTCATTACTGTCTACATTGATAAACATTCTAAGTTAATAACTTTATCAGTTATTTTTCAATTATTTCAAAAGCAAAATAAATTGATTAGAAATAATGCATCAAAACATTATCAGAACAAGAAATAATAAATATCAATCATTTCTATGACACTATTAAATAAAATTACTAATAAATAATAAAAAATGTTTATAGAAAATTTTAAAAATGATAAACTAATAAAGTTATCAGATTGTTTGATAAAAGTTTTTATTAACATTAAGTACTGACAATTGTTTGTGTTAAAAAAAATACTTTAATTAATTATCAACAAGTGAAATGGAATCAGTTCAAGTATCACAAAAAAATAAAACGTAATCCATTTATCTCAAGTATAAAGCATTATGGATCATCAATTTTATGGAATCAATAGCCTGAATGAAAGAAAAAGAAGGCATTCGTTAGAAATATAATGCAGTGGCTATAGGAAACACTTTAATACTCTTTTGTATGCCATTTAATTGTAAATCTTGTATTTTTAAATACCAAGTTCCAAATCGCTGTTTAGTAACGCTTCATATGCTCAATAAGACCCCTTTTTTTCTATAAAACTTCCGTCCCTAGTGTTTCTTCTTGTATAATGCTTTCTTGAGTGTTCAGGAGGCGAGAAAAAAATGAATTATCAGCGCTGACGAAGCATACTATCGTTAAACACGAACAATGACGCACTGAACCTTGTCAAAACGGGTGAATGACACCTAGACCTCGGTGAGATGCTGATAGTTTGATACTGTGCATATTCTTCACTACAATAATAATTTTCTACTCTTATACTTGATTTCCATCTTTCATTTTTCGTGATATTTCTCTGGCAGGTTTGTGCAAAAACTGCACAAAAGTTTTTATTTTATCCCTGACAATGACAATGATAAATCTTGGTTGATTTCTTTATACTTTTAATATTTATAAGTACTAGAACTTTGCTAGGATATAAAATAGATGATGATGACAAGGAT